TCATGTGGGCACTTATTGCTATATATTTTCCTCTAGAGACTGCTTTAAATGTGTCCCAGAGATTCTGGTATGTTGTGTCTTCATTCTCGTTGGTTTCGAAGAACATCTTTATTTCTGTCTTCATTTCATTGTTTATCCAGTCAACATTCAAGAGCAAGTTGTTCAGTTTCCATGAAGCTGTGCGGTTCTTGGTTAGTTTTTGAATTCTAAGCTCTAACTTGATTGCACTGCTTTTTTTTTTTTTTAAGAGACAGGGTTTTACCATCTTGGTCAGGCTGGTCTGGAACTCCCAACCTCAGGTGATCTGCCTGCCTCAGCCTCCCAAAGTGCTGGGATTACAGGTGTGAGCCACCGTGCCCAGCCCAAGGAGATAAGTTTTAAGGAAAGGAGCAGAGTAGAGACTAGGAGAAGGAGTGATCAGCTACCAGGGTTTTCAGTTGGCTCCCTGACTGATTTTTGGGCTGTAAGGTGGGTGAGTGATCAAGGCAGGCATCCCCACAATTGACCAGACAGCAAGGGGAGAGTCTTGTCTTCCCGAGTCCGTGACTGACCTCTGAGTTTTTGAGCGAGAGGGAGAGACTTGTCTCCTCCGGCTCCACACGGATAGAGTGTCTCTTTATCTCTACTAGAAGGAGAAAGATTTAAAGGAAAAGAGAGAGAAAGAGGGAGAGACTTATCTTCTTGGGATTTAAAGGAAAAGAGAGAGCTGGGGAGAGATTTGTCTCCTCTAAAGAGAGAGAGAGTGGGGAGAGACTTGTCTCTTGTTCTCTAATGGAAAAGAGAGCGCAGGGGAGAGACTTGTCTTTCATCCTTGAAAGGAAAAGAGGGACAGAGGGGACAGACTTGTCTCTCATTCTCGAAGGAAAAGAGAAATAGGGAGAGGCTTGTCTCCTGTTCTCGAAAGGAAAAGAGAGAGGAGGGGAGAGACTTGTCTCCCCTTCTCTAAAGGAAAAGAGAGAGAAAGAGGGGGAGACTGCTCACCCGATCTGAAGGTGGCAGGAGAGCTGTTCAGCATACTCTGTAGAATTTGTCTCATTTTCTTGGACAGCTAGGATAGGGGAACAAATTTGGGCTTGGAAAGGGGATACACGAACCCCCTTTGAGTATAGATGCTGAAGAAGCAGGAGGGTGAATTGAAAGGCCATGTTGTAATAGATGAGTGATAACAGGCTTTAAAGCCTTTTGTGGGATGGGGTACTGGTGCTGGGCAGGGTAAGTGTGGTTAGGTTTTAAGGGGATGACGAGTGGTGAGTGACTTACAGCAGCAGATGAGGAGGTGGTGTCCCGCACACTAGGGTTAAGGTAGGCGGACATAAGGAGAGCTATTGAAGGAGGTATGGTTTGGGGAGGAGAGCGGCAATGAGGTGCAGCTGTAGCCCAGGAATACTTAAGGAGGCAGACAGTTTTGCTAGGATATCTTGGCCTAACAGGGGAACTGGACAAGTGGGGATGATTAGGAAAGAATGTGAAAAGGAACGCTGGCCTAATTGACACCAGACTTGGGGAGTTGTGAGAGGCCTGGAGGGCTTGCCGTCAATTCCCACAACAGTTATGGAGGCCAAGGAGACAGGTCCTTGAAGAGAAGGCAGCGTGGAGTGGGTAGCCCTGACGTGATTAAGAAGGAGATGAACTTATCCTCCACTGTAAGAGTTACCCGAAGCTTGGGGTCCGTGATGGTCCAGGGGGCTTCCAAGATGTTCGGGCAGCATCAGTATTCAGCCACCAAGCTGAGGAGATCTGGGAAGGATTCAGTCCAAGAGCTTTTGGTTGGAGCTCCAGGAGCTCTGGGAGCAGCGACATGAGTCAGACAGTCCGACTTTCGTGGGGGCCCCCCCCACACAGATGGGGCAGGGCTTAGGAGGAATCCTGGACTGGGGCATTCCTTGGCCCAGTGGCCAGGTTTCTGACACTTGAAGCAAGGTGTGGGAGGGGTGGCTGTAATCCCAGCACTTTGGGAGGCCGAGGTGGGTGGATCACCCGAGGTCAGGAATTCGAGACCAGCCTGACCAACATGGCAAAACCCCGTCTCTACTAAAAATATGAAAATTAGCCAGGCATGATGGTGCATGCCTATAATCCCAGCTACTTGGAAGACTGAGGCAGGAGAATCACTTGAACCTGGGAGGTGTAGGTTGCAATGAACCGAGATTGCGCCACTGCACTCCAACCTGGGCAACAGAGCAAGACTCCGTCTCAAAAAAAATAGTGCAAAGGACTTCAGTAGACAGTTTCCAAAGAAGATTTACAAGATATACAAATGGCCAATAAACCCATGATAAGATGCTCAACATAGTCATTAGGGAAACACAAATTCAAAAAGCCAAAATGAAATACCACTTTATGCCCACTAAGATAGTGTTATGAACTGAATTATGCTCCCCCCACACTCCCAAAATTCATATGTTGAATCCCTAACTCCTGATGTGACTGTTTTTGGAGATAGGGCATTTAAGGAGGTGATAAGGTTGAATGAGGTTATAAGGGTAGAGTGTACTGAAGTGCCGTGGCTTGGTCCCAACTCACTGCAACCTCCACCTCCCTGGGTTCAAGCGATACTCCTGCTTCAGGCTCCTGAGTAGCTGGGATTACAGGCATGTGCCACCATATCCAGCTAATATTTGTATTTTTAGTAGAGGTGGGGTTTCACTGTGTTGGCCAGGGTGGTCTTGAACTCCTGACCTCTGGTGATCCACCTGCCTCAGCCTCCCAACATTCTGGAATTATAGGTGTCAGCCATCACAGCCGGCCTATTGTAGGTTAATACACTACAAAAATGCTTTGTGCTTTTTTCTAAGGTTTTAAAAATTATAAAAATGTATAACATGAAATTTACCATCTTAACAGTTCTTAAATGTACAACTCAGTAGTGTTCAGTATATTTACATTGTTGTGAAACAGATCTCCAAAACATTTTCATCTTGCAAAACAAGCTTCCATTTCATGTTTGCCACACGCAAAAAGATGTGTACTCATGAGTGAGATTTTATAGAGTTAATTTTTTGGCTTTATCAAGGATATTTTTAAGTTGAAACTGGAATTGTTTTATTTTTCTAATTGCAAGTGCATAACAATGAAGAATGCAGTCACAAGTAAGTAAGGTTTGGTGCCACTGCCTCAATTCACATCAGTTTTATACACCATTGCTTTTGTACCATCAGTAGAAATGTCAACACAGTGGAAAGGGCCAACAACGTCTTCTTATTATTGTGAAAGTAGTTTTGACTTGTAGACTTTGTAAAAGGTTCTTAGGAACCTTCCAACAATCCATAGACCACTTTGAGAACCACTGATTTAGATTAATGTTTTAGGAAGATCACTTTGGTGGCAGGATAGAGAAGGGACATTAGAAAGTCAAGGAGACTCAAGTAAAAGAAGAGGAAGGTCTAAATTTGAATAGTGGAGTGCAGATGAGAAGGAAAAGACAGATTTAGGAGATAGATTAAAAGTGGAATTGATTTAGAGAATTGCAGGTTCTGTCTTTTGATGCCTTAAAAAAAAAAAAAAAAAAAGAAAATTCCAGGGGTATCTTTGAGAAATTATTGTCTATCATTGTGCCAGATTTTGTTCCTTATCTCCATGTATTCAGTTTACATCACTAACCTAAATTATTCAAGGTAAGTTGGAAATTTCCATAGTGCCATAATAATAATAAAAAAAAACTAATCTAAATTAATGATTTGGAGGAAGAATGAGCTATTTAGTTGTCTGCTTTTACTTACTGTGTTAGCTTGAGAGTTTATGACCATCCTCTTTATCAGCTTCTGAATTTATGTAAACTGTGTATTGAACATAAATAGCAGATCTGTGTGTCATTATATATGACACTATATACAAATCTGTGTGTCATTAATTTAGGAGAGTTTTAGGGACTACAGTCTTTTCCACTGCTCAGACCCCCAATAATGAAAAAAAAAAATAGTACAAATTGGTTCGTATACTGGGTTCTTAATTTTTCATTTTGAAAGCTTTTTTCCCCTTCTTCAAACAGTACTTCAAATGCTTCACCTTCAGAAGGTACACCACTAGCAGGAAGTTATGGATGTACTCCTCATTCATTCCCAAAGTTCCAGCATCCTTCTCATGAACTTCTGAAGGAAAATGGCTTTACCCAGCAAGTATACCACAAGTATCGTCGAAGATGCCTAAGTGGTAAGATGCTTGCCCTTTATTTGTTTAATAGATTTAAAATTAAAATATAATTCTAAAAAATTAAAATTATGTCATTTAATGTCAGGTTAAGATATTATTTTATTGTTAGACTATAGTTTCACCTTAAGTTAATGTGTTTATATATATTCTTTGTTCATGTACTTTATAACTTAGACACATTAGGAAATAAAAATTAATATACTCGGCTGAGCACAGTGGCTCATACCAGTAATCTCAGCACTTTGGGATGCCAAGGCAGGCAGATCACTTGAAGTCAGGAGTTTGAGACCAGCTTGGCCAACATAGTGAAACCCTGTCTCTACTAAACCGTCCACCCTCTGAAAGACCCCAATGTGTGTTGTTCCCCTCTATGTATCCATGTGTTCTCATCATTTAGTCTCCCCCCAAAATTGTGAAAATCAGCTGGGCACCTGTAATCCCAGCTACTCAGGAGGCTGAGGCCGGAGAATTGCTGGAACCTGGGAGGCGGAGGTTGCAGTGAGCAGAAACCATGCCATTGCTCTGCAGCCTGGGTTACAGAGGCTCAAAAAACAAAAAAAATTTAATATACTTTTCTTGTTACTATTGACAGATATTTGTAATTTAAGCAGTAAGTCAGAAAATGGGTTATTTGTCAGCTATTTCAGCAGTCCTTAATCTTTTTGGTACAGGGACCTGTTTAATGGAAGACAATTTTTCTTTTTTTTTTTTTTTTT